CCCGCGCGGCGGGTCCAGGGAGGGGAGGAGGAGGGCTTCCCCCTCCTCCTCCCCCCGCGCGGCGAGGCCCTCCTCCATGCCCTCCCCGCCCTCACTACCCCGCAGGACATCAAGGACCTCAACGCGCTGATTGAGGAGGGCGTGGTGGGGGTGGGGGAAGGAGGGGGGATGCTCTGCACGCGCTGCCGGCGCCTCCCCCCGCTGACGCTGACGATGCCCTGCTGTGGGGCGATGCTCTGCCCGCCATGCCTGCCCTCGCCGCCAACGGTGGAGGGGGTCTCGCGGGGGGAGCGGCTCTGCCCGGTCTGCCATGAGGAACCCGGTGAGTCCCCCATTAGCCACCCACACAACGACGAGCGCCTTTCACACCTCGTCAAGGAACTCAAGGTGCTCTATTTACCACAGTTGAGGGCTTTGAGACAGGCGCGGGAGTCCCCGGGATACTCTACACGCGGGCTTCTTTTGGCGAATACCTCGCCTATCCTCGGACCCATGTAAGGGGGAGACACACAGAAAAAGATCGGAATAAACTGAGATAGGTTCCAAACAAAGGATACCAATGCCATGAGGGTAGATCCCCTTCCCCAATGATCGGTCAAGGTTTGAGCACGTTACATAATATGAAAAATATTTTTCGGACAATTGTTTATCTCTCGATACATTTTTTAATTCCAAGGCAAAACATAACGGAGTGAATCCATTCATTTTCTTCAGGGTATGCTTTTTTATATATTTTAAATATATGTATATTAACAACCTCTTTATGCGCTTCATATTTATTTTTCTTTTCTTTGTGGGTGTTATTATTCTAGTTCATTTACTTTGATTTAATTCACTTTTCGATGCGGTCTTGCAGTGCACGTCTTTTTCTCCAGTCTTCCACCTTTCGGTGGACTTTACCACTCCTTTCGCAACTGAAATACGTAACCTCCTTTCATGATTCATATATCACCTCAAATGACACCTCTTCTGTAGACGAGATCGACATTGCGTCCCAAAACTTTACCACAGGTTTTCCTACGTTGTTTCATAACAAGATACCGAACGAGAAAAATAATGATCCTCGTCTCAATGTCAAGCATGATTCTATCAACAGAACATCTGCAGTAGATGAAGGTCATGGTGTTGATACTATTCCTTTGACCTCGAAGATCCCTCCCGCCGAGGACACTATTGTGGCAAACGTTAAGCAAAAGCGAAAACCACGCAGCGTAAGGGCATCGCGCAGTACAGACGCCACCTTTGAAGACAATGGAAAGAAAACCGACGAAACTAATAAGATCCGAAGGCGACGAAGAAAAATTCCGTCTGCAGATAGCGATGGGGGGCTTTCGGTTCCTAGCGAGTCCAGCAAATCAAATGTGACTGAGGTCTAAAAAGGTAATTTGTGAAAAATTATGACAGAAAGCAGCGATGTCAAAAGAAAAAATGGAATTACCAGACGTGATCACCACTTTTTTTTCACTTTACTCATGCGCAAACAACGATGCTTAGTGAAGAGAAGGGGCAATGTAGCTTCCTTTCCTGACCACATCGCTGGTTCACATATTCTAGGGCAATTTTTTTCTATCCTGATAGGATTTCCCTTTAGTCTGATGTAAAGAAATTGGAGTCTCTTAACACCTGTTATAACCTTTTACTTCTCCTTTCACTAAACACTTCTTCACGTGAAAGTTTTCATCTGATGGTTTTAAAGCCTCCGATATTCATCTACCACTACCTTAGAGGTCTCTTGTCATCGCTAAGCCATTTTTTTAATGGACATTACTTTCTTATTTATATTTCCTTCGCTTTGTTATATGCCATTTCTTTACATTTACTGTGTTTCTTTAACACATATGTAAAGGTGAGGTTTTGGATTCATATACAATTAAAAATACAGATTTCACTTTTTTGTTTCATTTTTCAGATGTTATTGAAAGTGACTTTTTATTTTAAAGTTTCTACAGAGATAACATACCTGAAAACAAACCTCCTTTTTGTGATCAAAGAATATTTCTTTCGTATTTTCTTCACTTATTATTTTGGCTTGTTTTACTGCTTTTTTTTACTTTTCTGAGATCCATTATGATACCTATACATAACTTCTGAACGGGGCAACAACAATGTGCACCAATCAAAACTTTGTGAATAATTATCAGCCATAAGCTGAAAGGACCGTTATCTTTCTAATTTTTTTTGATTTTTTTCATGTCGCATTGTAGGTGCTTAACCTCACTCTGATGCCCAATAGGACTAGGAAACCAGGTATATTTTACGTTATACTTCACAAAAGGCTTGCTTTGTACTATGCCAAAACGTGCGACGCCATCACATTTTGGGGGCGTGCGTGATAGTAGCAGGTATACTCGAGGTGTTCTTGAGGAAGAGGTTATTCGTACGGCGAAACGAAGTAAAATGATGCACCATAAGAATGAAATCTCTGCCGGCTTTCCTGATCAACATGATCAACTTACAAACACCAAAGTCATCATGGCAATACAACGGAGGAGCTCCTCCGCAGGTGTGATGGTCGATCATTTTCTTCGAGGTTTGCCGTGCTCTTGGAAGGAGCCATTTCCATTTGGCTACTTGGTTGTAATTCCACATTTCTTTAATGATCATTTTTCTCGTATCACAGCTCAACAAAGACCGGAGGGTTCGACAGTTCGAATGACTTCGCGCGGCTCTTCCGTCAGCTATAAGTTTCTGGCAGCGGCGGTAGCGCACGCACGTAGGGAAATAGGCGCCGTCGACACTGTACCTCCTTATGCTTCGCTTGTGGTGGCGTTTGCTGTACGAGATGCAGGGCACGCTGAGCAAGGTAGCATCCAGAAAGAATCTAAAACTACTTTTAAACAAGACTATTGGAGGTTTTGCGGGGCAAAACAGCGAGCACGCTGTCTGGTGATGGGGCTTTGTATTGCCACGGAGCAGGATCAAGCCTACCATGTGCAAAAAAGCCATCATCCCGCATTAACGCTTGGAATGCTTTCCAGTGTTTCTAACCGTGATGCGTATTTTATGGGAGATGAGTGTGTTAGTGGAGCGTTGTTTTGTGGAATCAACTTTCTTTGGGTTGCGCAGCCTTTTCGTGGGCACGGCGTTGCGTTTTGGTTGGTTGAGGCAGCTAGAAAACACCTTTCATACGGAAACGTCATTCCACGTGAGTATGTGGCATTTTTCGAGCCGACCGCTTCGGGAGCGGCATTTGCGCAGCGTTATTCAGGACGTTCAGATTTTCTCGGCTTCACAAGTGAAGAACTCTCATGAAATCTACCAATAAACAAAATAATCTAGAAATACGCTTTGCATGCGTTTTATGTCATTCTTAACTACAAAAAAATCCTGACGTCACTCAAATCTTTCCTCTTATGCAGCTATTTTAAAGTTAACATTTATCACCACTAAGCAATTTTACATATATTTCTCAAAAAAAAAACGATTTTGTCAGGCATTTTCATTTTCCTTTTTAGAATATATCGTTTTCTCCTGTAATTCCTTAGAGTGATGATAAATGATTATTTTGAGACTGGAGACCCATCACGTTGGGTCGTGCTCGCGCTCTTTTGCCTTTTCAGTGCTTCTAATGCTATACAATGGATCACCTATGCTCCAATCGCTATCACGGTGAAGGAGTTCTTTCGACTTTCCACCAACGAAGTCAACCTACTATCTACGGTGTATATGATTATTTTTGTTGTTGGGGTGTACTTCAGTACCACAACTTTCGAGAAATGGGGTGTGCGGCAAGGGCTTATTGTTGGCAGTTTCCTCAATGCGTTGGGTTCAATTCTGAAGGTGGTGTACGGGATGCAATATCCCGGCTTCGCCCCACTGATTATCTCTCAGACTATTAACTCCATCGCGCAGCTTTTTGTCCTGTCGACGCCGCCGGTGATTGCGGCGCAGTATTTCCCGCCGCCCAAGCGGGCCTTCGCGACGAATCTCGCGACCACCGCGAACAACCTCGGAAACGCTGTCGCGCTGTTTATTCCGCCTTTTATTGTGCGGAAGGGCACCGCGGCGGAGTTTTATCTTCTTTTCGGTTTAGAGATGGTTGTTTGTGTGCTTATTTTGGGGCTTATCTTCTTCTTTGTTCAACCCCCGCGTTTCCAAGGGCTAAATAAGACTTTGTTAAACACTAAGACCCCCGCCGCGGTGGCGGATTCGGCCCTTTCCGGGGAGGTCGGCAATCGCCTGTCGGATCAGCCCCGGGAGTTGGCGGAAATGCCCGTGGGGGCCCAGGAGCCCCTCCACATGAGCAGCCCGGACAATTTTGTCAATCCCCATTTGCGCGACGACCCTTTTGGCTGCAAAAAGGCGCCGCAGCAGGGAGCGGGCTCATGGTTCGCGGTATTGGGAGAGGATTTCGTCCAGGAGGTAATCAATGTCGGGCGGACCATCGGCAAGCTGTGCAGGACGAGCGACTTTCTTTTTCTTTTTGGCGCCTTCAGCATTAGCATGGGCAGCGTGTGGACCTACGCGTCGGTGCTTTCGCAGGTCTTGTATCCTTTTGGGGTGTCGGCTCAGTTGGCAGGCATTGCGTCCGCGATGAACGTGGTGGCCGGTACCATCTCCTCCTTTTTTGTCTGCGCATGGGTGGATCGTAAGCGGCGCTATAAGTATCCCATTATTATTTGCCTTACCGGCGCGCTTCTATCCTGTCTGGGGTTATTAATTCTCATGATTCGAGCACCGAGTCCATCCTCAATTATGAATGTTTTGTCAACCACCTTTGTTATTGTTGCTGGGGTCTTCCAAATCACGACAATCCCCATTTGCTTTGAGTTCGCGATGGAGATTTCATTTCCTCTCCAGGAGTCGGTGCCTGGATCGATGCTCATGGCAGGTGCGAATCTGTCTTCGTTGATCCTGGTGACCGCCTCGTCGTATATTCTTGGAGATGATGACCCCACTAAGCGGACTGCGGTGAATGTGATTATTATGATCGTATCCATATCTGTCGTGGGCGCGCTGTTGGTTTTACCGCCTCGTGAGAAATTGAACAGACGGGATGCCGAATTGCTCGTGAAGGAGCAGCTGAATATGGTAGAGCCAAAGGACCTCTCAGCGGGTGCCGCGCCGAACCGCAAGCTCGCCTAAGCTTAAGGAAAAAAGTTAGGTAAATTACGATGTATATGTGGGCGAAAATTAATTCTTTTTTTTTGTGATGATCATTTCGTTTGTCGTATGCTTGTGCTTGTAGGTTTATTTTACTACTATTTTCCACTGTTTAAATTATGAAGAATAAAAAACAGTGAAGTAACTGTTGAATTATCATTTCCTACTTCTTGCTTTTCAAATTAAAGCTACATGTTTTTATTTTATGATTTTTTTCATTTATTTGCATTTATCGTAGGGTTATTTTACCACTTTTATTAATTATCTTAGCTTCGTATTTGATATTGAAATTTTATGATGTTACTGTGTCTTTTGTGCCTTTATAGCCTCAATAGTTAGCTAAATATGATAGCTGTTATTGCGTTCTTTGTTGCCGTACAAATGAATTTCTGTTATCCCTTCAATATTCTAATTGAATATTAAAAGGTTCACTTTCGGAGTGACAAAAGTCGCTAATACTATTTACATAAGTAATTTTACATCTCGATAAAATATTTTATACCTTAATCCTGTAAATCGAACTTGAAGTACAAAAAAGTAGCTCAATGATTTTGATGCCCACCAGAGGCCGTGCAGTAGGTTTTTTAATCTCAGTCTGGATACTCTTCGCGGTCTTTTCGAGTTTCTCCGCCGTTAACAATGTGCAGGCATATTCCGTGCGCTACGTCGCCATTGAAACCGATGTTGGGGCTTTAAGTTTCGATAAAGAAGGGCTATGCCCCTTAAAAGATCCCTCTGCCCACACCATGATGCCGAAAAAGGAGTCTTTCAACACCCTAGCACGCGCGGCCTACACCGATGCTGGCTATTTTAAAAGTGTTCCCATTGGCGGTGGGGCCCGCCAGGCGGCTTGTTTGGATCAAAACTGTACCTGGCAGTTTGACCATGGTTTGTATTATCATAATGAATTGACCTTCTTTTTGGGGATTATCTTTAATGGTATCGACAAGACGCGATCGGTGCCTGACGTCTTTAACAACTTCGAACGTGGTGTTGCGCCGGTCTCGTGGTATGATTTGAAGAATATAAGCTACTGGGGGAAGCGGCAACCGTGCATGAATTCAAACGGGACTTGGTCCAACGTTGAAATTAACTATAAATTCTCCGAGTGGATATGTGAGTACTATGAGTACGATAAGTCCGATTACATCTTCTTCCCCACTTTTCCCAATGGTGACCCCATTGTCCCGTCTATAAATGATAGTAAAATCCACCACTGTGGTAAATTGATCACATTTGACCATCAAGGTCGCTGGATTTACCAACCTTGTAAAGACCTGGTTAAATGGTATATAGGGTGTTCCATCACCGTTGGTGCGACCATTGCGTTTATTATTTTAATCGTACTGATAATTTATTTAATCCAGTACATTCGCAGGAAGAAGAAGGAGAAGAGGATCAATAGGATGTTAAGTGTCGGGTTGGAGAACCCCGCACGGATTCCGACCCAATCACAGATCAATATGAGTCAATATGGCAGCATGCATATGAGTCAAATGAACCATGGTAATATGTCAGGTGTGTTTTAGTTTACCTACAGGGTGATACCCATTTTTTTTTTCACCTTTGAAAAGGTGAACCTCATAAAAATGTATCTAAATTTTAACACAAGTAGCACAGTTCGTTACGTTTCAGTGACATTTTTACTGGCTATTTCTTTATGCGTATTGAAAGCGCTAACAGGAAAGTGCATATATGTATATATGCGTATCCTCCATTGTATGATTTTTTTTACCCTTAACGTGTAGACAATGTATCAAAATTTCATAATCATATACTTGATTCTATTGTAAATATATATATATATATATATATATTATACTTTCTCTTAAAAAATTATTATGCGGACTTTTCATATTTTATTATCATATTTACTTTATGCGGATGGCAGAGAAAATTTTTTGTAGTTGATTGTTAAAGTTCAATGCACAAAACATATTTTCACAAATCATAGTAGACTGTTACAAAAGAGAGTAACATACAAATATGTATTTGATAAAATGTTAATGATCCTGAGTTAAAATACGAAATCGTAATGTTTTTGATAAGCGGTGTTTTCGTCTTCTGAATTGTATAATTTCAATTAGTTTTCTTTGGAATTATCTTTTATTTTCGTTTATGTTACAGTTGAATTAATGTGAAAAGTTGTAAAGTAGAGGTAAAGTAAACTAAGTCGTAACAATTTGAAATTATATTAATATGGGAAAAAT